TGAGCACTCGCACGTAGCACGGCGGGGTGAGCCTCAGGTCGTCTACCAGGCTGTCCCAGAAAGCCACCTTGAAGCTCTCCCTCACCTTGGACAGCAGGGGGTTGTCGAGGTAGCCTGCCCCCTGCTCGTCGAGCTTGAAGGCGGGATCCAGCAGCAGCTCGTGCGCCAGCTGCTCGTTGGTCATCCGGCCGGGCAGCGAAGACAGCCCGGACGCATTCGTCGAGGACGGTAGCTCTGCTGGCCTGGAGCTGCTTCCGGCCCCTTGCGAGGAGGACGATGGTGTCTCCTCCGACGGCTCCGCGTCGACGGCAGTGAAGCCTTGCTGTCTTAGCGCCTCGTCGAAGCTCTCCAGCCCCTGGGCTCGGAGGATGAGAAGGAGCAGGAGGAGGAGGAAGATGAGGAGGAGGAGGAGGAGGAGGAGGAGGAGGTATGCGGAGGCAGGGAGTCGAATTATTGGTCGTATTGCAATCTTTGTCGCCTGTGGGTGGGGTGTTCTGAGTACCCCTCATTTTGTCTTAAAGTTTTAGGGTGTTGTTTATTCTAGTATGGGTAGGGGTATTCCCTCAACTAGAGATACAAGGGAGTTCTGAACGTGGGTGAAGCGAGGGGGGAGAGAGAGGGAGAGAGAGAGAGAGGCAGGGAGCGAGCAACACAGAGAGAGAGGCAAGGAGCGACTAACAGGCAAGAGATGAGGCACCATCGCTTCGAAGAGTCGGACAAACCTGCCCAGATGCAATACTCCAGAATCATCCATAAAGTCCTTCCTTTCCTATGGCCTGAGAATCTTCAACTGCGTTTCCGCGTCGTCATCTGTGTTCTCCTCATCATCTCCGCGCGTGTAGCGAACGTGATGGTACCTCAGCTCTACAAGGGAATCATCGACTCGCTGACCGGCAGCAAGACAGCCGATCCTTTGTTTCCTCTTGGATACATCATCATCTACACCGGCCTGAAGCTCTTCCAGACATTGCAAAGGGATGCCAGAGGGTTCGTGTGGTTGGACGTGGAGCAAGACACAAACAAAAGGATCAAGTTGGCGATCTTCTCGCACCTCCACTCGCTCTCACACTCCTACCATATCAGTAGAAAGACAGGAGAGGTCCTCAAGGTCACTGAAAGAGGAGCCAGCAGCCTTCAGTCGCTGCTCAACATGGCCTTGTTCACCATCGGGCCGACGATCTTCGATCTTATCCTCATCTGCACAGTGCTGATGATCGACACGGACGTTGCATGCTCGCTCGTGATCCTCGTGTCTATGGTGGTGTACTTCTACATAACTATCTACATGAACGACTGGAGGAAGCAGTTCCGCCGCGCCATGATCGATGCGGACAATCAGTGCAGCGATCGAGCTGTGAACTCGCTCATGAACTTTGAGACGGTGAAGTTCTTCGGGATGGAGAGGAAGGAGTGCGAGTACTTCGAGGAGAACCTCGTCGACTACAACCGAGCGGCTTGGAAGAACGAGGCCTCTCTTTATGCACTCAATGCTGCACAGCAGACTACCCTAGCAGCCGGAGCGTTTCTGTGCATGTACATCTCAGGTATAGTGTGTATGAGCTGCTGCTCTCGTCTCTGAGGTCGAGGCAGGAAAGAAGGTGGTGGATGGAAGCTTGACTGTGGGAGATTTCGTGATGATCCAGACCTACATCGTGCAACTTTCTCAGCCCCTTGCGGTTCGCACTTGTCGGGTTGTTGTCTTTCTTCTGACTGCGATTCCTCAGTGGTTGGGAACAGCCTGGAGGGTTTTACAGCAGGCCTTCATTGACATGGAGAAGATGTTTGAGTTGCTGGATGTCAAGGCAAGAGACGTTTCAAGGGCCTGACTTGCTCTTGACGTCTTTCTATCAGCCGGACATTGTCGACGCTCCTGACGCCGTGGCGCTAGAGGTAACTGGACTTGCTGAGACGAGTCGCGGCCGGATCTCATTCTGACCAAAGGTGACCAAGGGAGAAATCTCCTTCAGAAACGTCACTTTCAAGTACGACTACGGCAAATCCGAAGTGCTCCCTTCCTTGCTCCCTTCCCTTCCCCTCCCTCACCTCCCTCAGGTACTCTCAGACCTCTCCTTTGAAATTCCTGCCGGACACACCGCGGCGTTCGTTGGGAAGACAGGAGCAGGTCGGAGCAAGAGGAGGGGAGCAGGAGGAGGCAGAAGGGGGAAATGGAGGAAAAGAGGACAACAAGGAGAGGTCAACGCATGGAATGACGGGAAGTGCAGGCAAGAGCACCATCGCGCGTCTGCTCATGCGCTTCTACGAGCTGGACACGAAGGAACAAGGAGCCGTGTGCGTTGATGGCATGGTCAGCGAGTTCTGTTCCCTCCTCTAGCGTGACGCTACCTCCATAGGATATCCGCAAGGTCAAACAGCAGTCGCTGCGAGAGGCCATCGGCATCGTGCCGCAGGTTCCTGAACCCTCTGTACTCCCCTGTTGTCCTCCCTCCCCTTCCTCCCTCCCAGTCTCCCGCCCCCCCCCCCCCCATGCTTCCTCCGTCCTCCCTCCTCTCACGTTCCTCCAGGACGCTGTGCTGTTCAACGACACAATCAGGTACAACTTGGCCTACGGCAGGTGAATGGCTGAACCCTCGCCACCTTGTCCTACCTGACTACCCCTCGTCTCGTCTCGTCTCGTCTCGTCTCGTCTCGTCTCGTCTCGTCTCGTCTCGTCTCGTCTCGTCTCGTCTCGTCTCGTCTCGTCTCGTCTCCTCTCCTCTCCTCGTCTCCTCTCCTCTCCTCGTCTCCTCTTCTCGTCTCCTCTCCCCTCCGTTCCTCACCCTCCTGCTCTCTTTTTGAGAGCTCTTGCAGGCAAGATGCAACTCTGGAGGAGATAATGGAAGCCGCTAGGATTGCTGCTGTGGTTTGTTGCCTCCCTCCTCTCTCAATTCGCTCCCTTCCGCACCTCCCTCTCTCTCTCCCTCTCCCTCTCCTTGTCCTTGTCCTCCTTCGCCCTCTGCTCCTTCTCTTTTTCCCTCTCCTCCTCCTTCTCCTCCTCTCTCCTCCCCCTCCTCCTTCTATCTCTCCTCCTTCTCCTTCTCCTTCTCCTTCTCCTTGTCCCTCTTCTCCTTCTCCTTCTCCTTCTCCTCTGCTCTCCTTTCTTATCCTTTGCCAGCATGACACGATCATGAACTTCCCCGACAAGTACGAGACGAGGGTGAGGAGGAGCAGTGAAGGGGCAAGACTGAAAGCAGCAACAGGTAGGGGAGAGGGGCTTGAAGCTGTCCGGGGGAGAGAAGCAGGTACCATTCTACCAATCATCCCTCTTCCCTCCTCCCCTTCTCTGTCTCCACTCTTCTTCCTCCTCCTCCCCGCCTTTTTTCGGTTTTTCTTCCTTTGTTTGTATGAGCAAGGAGCATGACTTGTGATCTCAGAGGGTAATGTGATCTCTTCGCGAAGAGAGACAAGCTTCATCAACACAAGATAAAGAAATGAGTCAGGTGGCTATCGCCAGGACCATCCTGAAGAATCCGAAGATCGTTCTCCTCGACGAGGTTTTGCTTCCTTCTCGCCCTCGTCATCATCCTCGTTCTCACTTCTCCTCCTCCTCCTTTGTCCCTCCTCCTCCTCCTTCTCTCCTCGTCTGCTTACACGCTACCAAGGCCACCAGCGCGCTGGACTCGCACACGGAGTATGAGATCCAGGGAGCGCTGGAGGAGATGTGCAAGGGAAGGACGACGCTCATTATCGCCCATCGGCTCTCGACCGTTACACATGCTCACGTCATCTTTGTGCTCGAGGGAGGGGCCATCATCGAGAAGGGGGCGCATTCCGAGCTCCTCCTCAAGGTCACTCCCCACTGCTTCCTCTCCGTTCCTCTCCTCTCCTGAGACTCCCCTTCCCCCCCCCTCCTCTACATCCTGCTCCTCCTCTCCTCGTCATCATCGTTGTCAGTGCTACATCCACCTGTTCATCGTCCCTCCTCCATGGCTTCTCTTCAACGTGATTCTTTGTACAGGACGGCGTCTATGCCTCCATGTGGAAACGGCAGCTAGAGAAACGAGAGATCACTGTGGTTGGCAAGGAAGAGGAGGAGGGCGCGGCCGACTGAGCTAGATAACCGTTTGAACCTTTTAAACCTGTTTATCTTGTAAGTCGTACACATCAACATCCTGAAAGCAGAAGCAGCGTGCGAAGGGGAAGAGCAGAAGGAGTGAAGCTGGCAAGACAAATGTTCCTCGAACAGCTGGCAAAAAGATTCTCGAGGACATCTGAACAAGAAGGCGATCGAGACTGGTTCTGGTACTGGTGCTGGCGATGGTCCTGGTTTAACGATTGGTCGCGGTCTCCTTCTTTGTTTCCATCTAGTGAGCAGCTTGTGCCATCAGCTCGCTTACAAACAATCGCGAGCACAATCACGAGCGAGCATGTCATTGCTTTCCTGCAAAGACTGTCGGTCACTACCAGCCTACCAGAACGGCGCGAGCCGAGGGAGGCACAAGACTTTCGGGGCCTCGAACGTACCTGCTGACGCTCGTTTCACAGCCTCCTCTGCCTCCCTCAAGAAAGCCGCCTGAACACAGAGAGTGACGACAAGTCAAGTTTCACGCGAGGTCCTAACCTTCTTGGCTGCAGCATCATCAGCACTCGCCTTCTTCGACGCCAGCTCAGCCATCTTCTTCTGCACGGCCAGTGAGCTTCTCTCACACAAGGGTGAACATAATCAAGGTCAACCTGGCGGTACTCTTCTGCTCTCTTCAGCCTGTCTGCATCAGGTTGTGCGTTTACCTTGGCTGAGAATACAGGTCAGGTGTACACATCGATCTTATGCGTCTTCACTTACTGTTGGTTTCGTCATTCTGGGAGGAAGAGGAGGCGTTACGGCTGTGTCTCTTGGCAGCTTCTTCCAGCAGAGCCTGGCAATGACATCATCATCATTCACCATCAAACGAACCACTGACCTTCTTTCTCGCCAAGAGCTCCTCTGCCTTTCTTCGAATCTCGTCCTCGTCAGAGTGTTTTGTATCCTTGTCATTAACAATTTTCTTGGGTGAGTGGTTTTCGTTGGGTTGGGATATTCTCGATTGGTCGTTTTCTTTCCCCGAGTCGTTGTTCACGAACAGACTAGATGACAGGGCCCGAGCATCATCAAGAGCCTTCCTGGCGGCAGCGAGGCGAGCTTGCTTTGCCTCCAGCTCTTGCTTTGAAAGAGCGTCTCTGAGAATTCGCAGTTTCTCTGAATCCTCCTTCGACTGCTCTGCCGGTTTAGCTTCCCCATCATTTGTTGAAGGCACCTTGCTGATCGACGAGTCTCCGTTCTCCACCACCTTGCCCGAATCCACAGCCTTTTCCTTGTCTGAAGGCAGTGTTGTGGTGACCTCAGCCTTCTCTTCATCGATTCTCTGGAGTGCCTTGGACAAGTTCACTTGGTTTCCATGGTTATTGACATCTTCACTCTCATGAGCCTTCGATTTCTCCGATTCCACGGGAGCTTCAGAACTCTTGTTGCTTGCTGGTTCAATCTGTGCTTCAACCGTCGGTGTGTTAGACTTTGTCTGAGAGTCTTCCTTCTCTGCCTCCTTCGGTGGTTCTTTCATCTCTTCAGGATGGGCAATTTTCTCCTTGCTGGATTCATCCTTGCCGTCGGTAGCTGACTTTACCTCAGGCTCCTGCCTAGTAGTTGAGGCCTCCGGGGTCTTGGAGTCTTCGACAGAAGGTTTTGGGAGCTTCTCCTCTGCTGCTTTTTCCTCAGCTTGACTAGCAGACTTCATTTTTTCTTTCTCCGTGTCGTTCTCAGGGGCTGCTGCCTGTGCTTGCGAGCTCTGGGAATTTCCGTCAACTGAAGCACTTGATTCGGTGCGGGATTGCGGGGGAGATTCCTTTGCCTGCTGGCATTCAGATTCAGTTCCATGGACACAAGGTAAGAACACACAAAGACCTCTTGAGGCACACTCTTCTCTTCATCCTTTGCGTGTCTGGTGGTCTCAGAGGGAGCCTCCTTGGTTTTCTTTGGCGATGCCTCCTTGCTTGGAGCTCGAGCAATTTCAGAGGAAGGCTCTGAAGATTTAGACTCTGGAACTTCGTGCTCCCCCTTACTCACTTCCTTTTCATGCTAAAGATCAAACAAAACTATCAGAAGACCAATCGCAGATGTAAGTCAAGAACAAAATCGAAATTACCTCTTGATTGTCAACAACCTCGTCATTGTTCTCTGCTTCCGATAAATCCTCAGGAGACCAATCCGGTTCTTCTCCCATCACCTGATCACTTTGTGAATTGGATGTCAAAAACAATGAAATAGGAAGAAACCTCCACAAGTTCCGAGTGTCTAGCCCGTTCCTCATACATCTTTGCTGCAGCACGCTTTTTCGCAGCTTCATCCTCAAGCTTCTGAGCCTCTAGGGCAGCCTGCTGAGCTTGCTGCATGTAGTCGTTCTTGTCATATGCTTTCTCGATGCTGGCGTCACTGCCATGATCTGATGAACAATCACTGCCCTGAACCTTCTTTTGAGCAAATCTCGATCTCCCCTGCGATTTCTTCAGATGAAAAAACATTGATCTTTTTCAAACTTACAACAGTTTTCCTTGTCGCATTCTCGTCCTTCTTTTTGAGTACAACGTTTTTGAATTCTCTGTCAGCTTGCACAGAAGTATTGAGGTCTTTCGGCTTTGAGGTGGCTGTGTTTCCACCATTCATTTTCCTTTCCAGCCAGATCTCGTGCGGTGTCTTCTCTCTCACTACGTCCTCGAGCACCTTGCCCGCATATGGCTTGCTCTGCAGCTGCGAATCTATTTGCTGAACGTGTGAGGTGTGTACAGATTCATTTACATTTGCAACGCTCTCGTTGACTTGTTCCAAGGAATCATCATCTTCGTCTTTCACTCCAAGAAGGTCGTTGACAGATTCGACGATCTCCTCCTGCAAATTGTGCACAACCGTAGTGATCCAGCTCGAGATTGCACCACGATGAGTGCTGATATTGGCTTTGACAAAGGCAGGAACGTTCTTTCCAATCCAGCAGACGTATGTGCACTTGCTGCTGCTATCGTCCTCCTTAATGAGCATGTACATGCACTTGTCAAGCGCCCCATTCATCTCCTCTCTCACATAGCCTGCCAAACCATCCCGTCCACCATTTCCAGTCTCTATCAGGTGTAGAGTGTTTTTCTTGCCTTCCACGTATCCCAAAATCAACCAACTAAAAGTATCCTCTTCGATCTGTTTCAAAGACAGCAGTATGAGTCGTTCTCAAGTTCCAGCTCATTTTGTCAAACTCACATTCGCTTCCCTGAGATCCAGGCACAGCTCTTTGAGGGCATCTTCTTCCTCAAATTCCACTTCAATATTTGCCTGAGAAGTTTGGCAAGTTAGGCATCTTGGAGATAACCATGGCTTGACTGCCACCTTTTGGTACATGGTGTGTGATAACGTCTTGATTGGAGCCTTCTTTGGTACATTCACGTCTGATCCCTATAGACACTCTCAGATACAAGATCGATAACATCGCAGCAAACGAAAATTACACAGCAAATGACTCACCTTCAACATACTGCCAGTGGCACTCGTGACTGTCACATTGTTGATACTCTTCGCAGCTTTGACTGTGTTTCCCCTCCACGTCTCGCGTTGCCTTTGATCCTGCAAAAACATTGAGATGGAGATATCAATGATGATTTAGATGACCTTTTTGCGCTTTTCTGCCTCATTAAGCTTAAGAGCTGCCTCCTGGTCGTTGAGTACCTTCCCCAACGTAGCGACATAATATCCGAGCTCCTCTTCTATCTTGTCCTGAAGTCAAAGTCAGGAACAGCGCGAATGGAAGTTAAATCATCAAGTCAGATAGGAAAGCAATAGACTAGCATCAATTGGGAAGGGCAACATATTCACAAGGCAAATATCAAGATGCTTGGCTCGAACCTCGGTGAGATCATCCAAACTAGATGCCACGATGTTCAATGTGAGAGACCCTAAAACATCAATCAGATCATTCAGATTCAACACAACACAAAAAACCAAGGTAGTTTGTAATGAAGCTCCGATGGATAGAAGCTTTAGCTTTGAATTGGATTGGCGCATCGTCGGGCAACCACTGAATGAAAGCATATGCCTTCTCCCCAACCTGAGGAGAATTTTTGAAGTAAGCCACCAACATCACTTCACTATCCAGGCTGCTAGATTCTCTCTATCTATCCAACACTCCCTCCCCAAACCCTCTAACATGAACCCTTCCATGCATTCACAACAGCACATGCATTGGCGTGCCACATAACGTGCCTGGGCGAAGAGATACAGAACGTGCTTAGGTTCAAACAACTGCATGGCATCCTTCAGATCGGACTCGCCAGCCTCGACGATTGAGATCTTTTTCAACTCATCCGATCCATAACCGAAGAGGACCCTGTGCAGCGATTCAGATGGAGGCGATGTACATGCGAACATACCATTTCAGCTCACAGTCAGGATCTCGAACGTCTGCAATGACTTCTCGAGCATCATCTACGTCCTCCCAGGATACCTCGCCAGTCATGATAGCAAAGTACACGAGAGCTTGCTCAGAAGTTTCAAATCGCCAGAATCTGACAAAATGAAAGCAGAGTCAATATCTGACTGATTAGATCAGGCTCAGAAACAGTGCAACGTCCTCGGTTCACATAGACTGTTGGGAAAGGATCATTCTCACAAGAAAACTTGATGACAAGCACCATACAAATAGCATACGAAGAAGGGGACGGGGGGACTTAGGAAATTTGTGATATGATCAATGAGTTATGATCGTAGCATGTGAAAAACACTTTGGGGAGTAGCATGCAAGATTCATTGAGTGAGAAAGGGGGATCAGTAACCATGAATACACGTTCAGGTGAGAGATAGATGATTCGTAGGCCCGCAAGCTTGTAACGTGACAAGGATGAAAATGTTCGTTTGGCAGCCCAAGAGGCCAGGGAACAAGAGATTGCATTTATCTCTGAATCATGGATGGGAGCAGAAAACACAGAAACTATAGAGAGCATCATCGGGAGGAAGAGGAAAGACGGTAAACACGTGGAGAGTAGAGGAGCGCTAGATCAGCATGGAGGTTGGTAGAGAACGGACATCAGCCGCCGCGCTCTTTGAAATTTCCATAAATTGAAATCTTTTCAGGGGGTGTCTGTGCCACAAAGTTCAAATTAATACCCCAAATATTGACTGGATACACTCATTTTGAATTAACAAGAACTGAAATATTTACAGAAGTCTTACAAATTTGGTGAGTTTTTAACCCCCCTTGCTATTTGAGGATCAACTAACGTAGGCCTTCAACAAAGCTTGTCTAGTAGTCAAGAAAGGGACGAGAGGGTGGGGGCAGAGGTTTAGACAGGTAGGGGTAGTATTACAGGGGTACTCGTGGAAGCTACATCTAAAATGCGTGGAAGGTGGGGGTATTCACAGGACTCAAGAGGGGTGATATGAAATAAGGGTACTTGTATAGGACGGGGTGATTGGGCACGAGGGGTAGTTTGCAACAACATTCAATTTTTAAAAGGTTACGACAATTTAAAAAGTATTTTTATTTATTCCAATACCCTTTATATATGTTTTACAAAGAGTGCCAGAGCCCTATGATTGTCTCCATTTAGGATTATATTTGTACCGAAATATTTATAAATTGTGTATCAATTGTATATTAACTGAATGTCTTCAACAAAGTTTAATATGGCTACTGTGACGAAGTTCAGTGAAGGAGCGGGCCCGAGGCCCCGGGCCCGGGTAGCATTGCTGTCTTTTCATTACCCTATTTAAACTTCCTGAGGCGGATCTGAATTTTAGTTTCGCATTCGGCTTTGGAGACATGGTGAGGCAGGTTCACAGGGCGGGATGAAAGGAAGGGCGATGATCATGATAGAGAGTAAGAGAGACAAGAGCTTGCTGGATCGAGGTTGAAGAGATATGCTCCTGCTTCTGTTGCTGGTGGCAGCGTCGCATCAGGTGAGCACGTTGTCTTGGCTTCTTGTCCGTTCTTTTTCCCATCGGAAGAACACCACCAGCTGTTGAGCATGTTGAAGCTGACAACCGATCAGGTCCTCCTTGTTGGCGCTACGAAATGCTTCTCTCCTCAACTTGAGCGCAATCTCTCTTTTTTCGCCGGCGAGGTTGCCTTTCATTGAACCTTGTCACTCGCCAACGATGATGACCGCAGTGTTCGGCAAATGGAACTCGAAGAGTGGTGGGAACCATTCTTCCTGGTAGCTATACGTGCAAAGGGCCCAGTGGCTCTGCCTTGTCGGTAACGAGTGGGATCGTGAGATATGAAACCAAACTTATTCTCGAGGCTGAACCGACTGTTACAGCAAAGCGATGAACTTTGCAGCGTGAGCTGCAAAGCAGGCCAGTTCCTGAGCTTAGGTGGAGCAGGAGAAGGTTCTCCAGCCATGCGCTGTGTTGATATGTGTCATCTTTGATGCTCCTCCACGCAGACCCGCCCCGAGCTCAGTGCAAGAATTGCCCACAGAACACCTTCAGCGTCGGAGGAGGAAGAACCATCTCAATGTGAGTTGAGGGCGATGACGCGTCTGTGAGGCCGTTGCTGATCTCTGAGCAGATGGAGCACAAGGCTGCTGCAGGGTGACGTTGGAGGGATGAACCTCCCGTCGGAGGAGAGCCCGTTCCACTCCTTGTGCTATGGGTTCAACTCGACGAGCTTTGAGCAGAGCGGCGACATTGGTCAAGCATGGCAGGAGGGATACAAGTGTGACAGCATGCTAGTTTGGCTCGTGGAGGTGACCAGAGCGCTCAGGTGCGAATCGTGGAAGCCAACAGGGGACGGGAAAACTTCGTCAGGGAACAATCGACAGATTTCGAAGGTTGGGTGGTTAGGTGGCACTCCCGTTCGTTGATGTGATGAAATGAAGGTGAGGAGCGAGCTCCATATGAAGCTTCGATTCATCACCAAGGGGAAGATATGGTAGGAGCCTCCATGACGTGCGAGGGACGTCGCTGACTGCCGTTGCCAGGTTCACCTTCCGAGTGGATGCGGATGCTATGACAGAGGAGGAGGTCAGCTCTGTCCCTGAGAGATTTGTGAGGCTGAGCTCGCGAGCAGCCTTGTCCTTGGCTAGAAGGAAGCACTGGGTTGGATGACACGTGGGAATGCGAGGACGGGACCCTGGGCAACAGCAGCTTCGATTGCAACTTCCATGGAGGACGAGCGCGCTGCCCGAGCAATTTTCCAGAGATGTGCGCACAGGTTTCGTTCCTCCTCCTCCTCGCTCCTCTCGTGCTTGACCCTCCAACGTGCTGCAGCCGAACTTGTGTGCTGGAGGACTGGCCTACTGCTGCAGCATCGACTGCAGTACGTTCGGCGGGCCTCGGCTCTGCCCGGGCTCGGGTGGGCTTCAGGTGTTGTGATGGGGGAGTGGACGATGGGACGTGAAGTAGCTGTCAAGGTTCTGCTGTGCAAGGACGATCGTGTCAGGAAGTGCAGACCCATTCCTCTGCGACCGCTCCCCTTCCAGTCCAGATTTTACGTCTCTTCTGAGATGCAGGTCTGTCTAGTTCAGGAGGGAGGCGGAACGTGTTGCTGATGCTGTTGTCCTGCAGTGGCGGTGGGTCGAGTTTGACGTTCCTGCCGGGTATTTGCTCTAGCTGCGTGAGAGGAGTTGAAGGCTGATGGGTGGGGGAAGGTGGGTGGAAGTGGTCTTCAACTACATCCGTGATGGCGCTGTTGCGGGGCAAGACGAGGCCATGATCGGTGCTGAGTTCTGTCTTGCCTCCTCCTGTTGAGCCTGCTGCAGGCGAACTGGGATGGGTGGGAACGAAAATGGCGGACTTGGAATGTTCCGCCTGCCCAGTAGGAAAGCAGAGTGTCGAGGGAGCGTCGAGATGCTCGTCATGCGGGAGAGGTGAAGTTTTCGCTCCTTGCTGTTTCTCTGACGTTCCCCTAGACGAGATCTTTGACAAGGACAGTGCATCCTGCCAGCCTTGTGCCTCCAACTTCTACGCCTTCCCAGGCTTCGACAAGTGTCTCCTGCGCCCCACCTGCTCCATGACGGTCTGCCATTGGGTCGGCGGGAGGCCTCTGACCGCAATGTCAGGACTACGTGGCGAAGTTCTCAGAGTGTGATGAAGGAGGCAAGCGGAACAAGTGGTTCGAGTGGCTGGAACCCAAGATCTGTGAGGGAGGAGTGAGTAGAGGAGGAGAGCCTTGCGATCAGCCCCTGAATCCTCCCCCAGGTTCATCTTCCTCCTGCCCACAACGGGGTCAGCTGTCCTCCCTGTGCAAGTGGAAAGGTGAGGAGAGGAAGTAACGGCGAGTTTTCCTTACTCGCTCCTCCTCGCAGTACCGCGACGGAAAGATCTGCAAGGATTGTCCTCCCGGCCACTACAGCGATCAGGACATGGTGAGCGATATTGGAGGTCAGAATGGGAGGTTGAGTCATGTGCAGCTGTGCAAGATGTGTCCTCCTGGACATTACGCTCCTCGAGAACGAGTAATCACTGAGTTCAGAGAGGTGGGAGGAGCCGCGGGTGTTGAGAAGATGACTGTTGTGCAGGAGAACATGGAGGCGGGTCTGTCGACAGGATGTGTTGGTTTGTGCGGGTCGAAGGTGAGAAAAGCGTTGGAGATAGGTAGAGGAGTGGAAGGAAGCAGGATCAGGGGAGGGGAGGGAGGGGAGGAAGGGGAGGGAGCAAAATTGGAGAGGAGAGGAGAGGAGAGGAGAGGAGAGGAGAGGAGAGGAGGAGACTTTCGCATCTCAACAGTTAGTAGGGATGGCGCGGACGTGTAGACTTCATTGATTCTGGCTTTCACCACCTGGCTCCTGCTGAGGTCAGGAGATCACTTGGGCAGGCTCAGTCTCTGACCAGTCCAGCAGTCTTGGCTGCAACTCGATCTCAACATGAGCGATGCGGGGTCAATAGAGTTTGTCTACGGGCTCAAGTGCAACCCCCTGCTCTCTTCGTTCGTGCTGACAGTGGACGGCAAGAGGCAAGTGCTTCAGGTTGTGCTCCTGCTGGGTAGTCGACGTTGTGGTCATATGTGACAGGCTACCTGCGCAAACGGAAGCACAACAGAACAAGGAAGGAGAGTGCGAGAAAAGGTTGCGATGATGATGAGGGGAAAGATTGCTGTTTGACACTCCTGTCCACTCCCTCCCTTCCTTCTCCTCGTCCTCTCCTGTTCACCCTTGACCCATTGCTCCTCCACCTCTGCAAATTCTGCTCCCTCTCCCGATCCTCCTTATCCTCTCCTCCTCCTCCTCTCCTCCTCCTCCTCCTGCTCCTCTTCTCCTCCTCCACATTCTCCCCTCCTCTCCTCTTCTCATCTCCTCTCATCTCCTCCTCCTCCTGCTCCTGCTCCTCCTCCTCCACTTCCCCTCCTCTGCTCTTCTCATCTCCTCTCCTCTTCTTCCTCCTCCTCTCCTTCGCCTCCAGTTTCCCATCCGTGCAGGGGTTCACAAGGTTCGCTGGACGTTCCGACGGGTGTCGAGTCAACTTCCAGGATCGGGTAGACTGACCTGCAACTTGACCCTCCCTCCATGACGAGGACGCGCAGGAGCGTCGGACTTCAACGGCTTCGACGATCAGGCTCAGATCTTTGAGATGGCTGTCACCAACACTGACACGTGAGTTTCTTCCATCGCAAGATGTGCCTACTCACCCTCCAACTGCAGCGGAGGAGCCTCCAAATGCCTTCCCTGTCCTCCTGGTCTCTTCAGCTCCCAACCCTCAGCTCGTTGTTCGCCGTGTGCTCCTGGCTTCACAGGTCAGAATTTTGCTCCTCCTGCTCCTGTGCTCAGCTGCTGTCAGGATCCTCCTCCGAAGCCTCCAGCACGTGCAAGGTAGAACCTTGTGCTGCTAGATCCAGCCCTCACCATGGAAAACTTTCACAGGCTTGTGAGGAGGGGAAGTTTGCGCCAGTGTCCGGCTCGCCTGCGTGCAGGTAACCTGCAGGAGATGTGAGGAGTTTGATGAGTCGCTAGGGTCTGCGGGGAAGGAACGAGGTCCGGGGAGGCGGCAGTGTCCTGCTCCTGCGTGTACAACAGGACAGATTCCGGAGGAAACGCTCACCTGCTGTACAATACGTCGAGGATGAAGGGCAGGATCTTCGGACCTCTGCTCCTGCGCGGCAAGGTCGGACCTGCTCCTCCTCTTCTTGCCTGAGACAGCACAGGACATGATGGGGGCTCGCAGCCTCGTGCTCTTCCTCTCCTTCTGCTCCACTCTGCCACCCTTAGCAGGAGCGCAGGGGCCGAGCGCGGTGACCGTTGGGTTGAACTCGTCCTGGCAGCCGGAGGTGGGAGGAAAGGAGAAGGGGGCGGGTGGCTGAGAAAGCGCTGGCAGGGATGTGCTGGAGTTTTTGCTTGCATAGCAGAGTGGGACAGTGGGGTCCTTCCATCCAAGTCAGCCAGTGAGGACGACTTTTTGTCGTTAGGGAGTTCAGACGCTCTCGTTCTCAACGCTGGCTCGCAGCAGGTACCCTTGAACTCTCAACAGCCGCCGCTGATTTCTTGTCCTCCCTTCCCCTCCCTCCTGTTCCTGCAGGGCTTTTCGGACCTGCCCGACTTTCTCAGTCACAGGTTAGCCTCCTGCTCTCCTCCTTCTTCAGCGTGAGAGCATCTCAGGAAAATCGAGGACTCCGTCGACTCCGCTGGCATCCATTGGAGGAGCGGGGGAGGGTTCACGCTGACGCTGGGAGGAGGAGCCTCCTGTCCGATGAGTCAAGGGAAGAGGATCGAGACTAGAGTCTACGCGCTCTGCCAGCTGCCCGAGCAGGGGACGGACGCGTCCAGGGTACCGGAAAAGATGCGCGTGATGAAAGAATGCGGCGACCGGCTCTGCGATGAAGTGGTGAAAGAGTAGTTTTCCCTTGCTCGCAATGACTGTGTGCTCAAGGCCGGTGCTTGCGTGTTGCATGTCATGTGGGAGACACACTTGGCTTGTCCTGTGTGCACGTTCGACAGCTACGCTAAGGTCTTGCGATGAGGAGGAGGAAGGGAGGAGTGAAGGATTGATGCAGGTAAGCACGCCTTGTATCAACGGGCGCCACGACGTCTCCTTCAAGATGGTGAAGGAATGTTTCGGAGGCTTTTCGATGCCTCAGGTGAAGGAGGAGGCGGCGGCGAAGAGCAGGAGCAGGAGCAGGAGAAGGAGCAGGAGAAGGAGCAGGAGCAGGAGAAGGAACAGGAGCAGGAGCAGGAGCAGGAGCAGGAGCAGGAGCAGGAGGAGTGGATGATGATATGAAGATGATCCTAGTTGGCAGGATCTCGTGAATGTACATTGCGAGATCGACTTCCGCAGTCTCTTCGGGTACTTCTGGCTGCTCCTGCCCCCAGTCGGCTCTGACTTGCTCCTTCCGCAGACCCGGCGACCTCGTCGCCCTCGGCATCCTCTGCCTCCTGACCCTCGTCATGTTTGGGATCTTCTTCGAAAGGTAGGAGAGCTTCCTATACCTTCCTGCTCCTCATCCACTCGGCAGGTACGTCATGTACAAGAAGTTGTACAGCCGATACAAGAGCCTTGAGCATCAGTCAGGTTCATTCCAGCCCCTCCTCCCTCCCTCCCTCCTTTCACCTCTCCTTTCTCCTTCCCTCAGCGGCTCCTGACTTTTTTCTGAAGGGGGAGATGCTCATTCGTCGCTTCCCGGCATGATTCTTTAACCCACCACCCTTGATGCCCTCGTTGTCAATACACTACTATCGGATGATAAAATCTCCTTTGTTCTGCACTCAGAATCATATCATACTTGAGAAGAGCCCCGGCAGTAGTCAGATGACTGTCAGGCGGCAGACTTGCCCGGCCCACACTGAAAGAATGGAACGGATATTCTGCTACTGCTGCAACGACATTGGAAGAGACCCGGACAAAACTGACTTGAAGTTAGATTCTTAGTAGGCTGAGGGCACTCAGGACATGAGTAGAAGCAGAAAGTAGTGGGGCGGATGAGGGTTGGTTCTCACTGTCTTTTCTCTTCTCGCCGTATGGCCTGCCAGGCTGTGCGACAGCGTCAGGGTCACTGAAGCCTCCGAGCCTCTACAAGGTTACTCCCTGTGACTCATCAAGTTTATTTAACTTTGCAAGGGGCGAGGCGGGCCCAAAGTTCGGAGGTGAAAGTTCTGCCGGGGGCCGTTACTCTCCGAGCAGTCGCATCATGCCGAAGGCGTGAAGGGAGAGACGAGAGGAGAGAGGAGAAGAAGAGAGAGTCGAAGAGACAAGCGAAGGATCAGCTTTGAGAAGAGACTTGCTTGTACCTTTAGTGCCTCTTGCTCTCAAAACTCAACCTGGACTTCTTCATCCTCCTCGATTCACCTTTGGTCTCACTTCAAAGGTACAATACTTGTGCCGCTATTGATTGCTCAGTCTCGTCATCAAGAAATCAGCATCTTCCTCATCGTCGCTTCCTTGAAATAGTTTCAGTCGATCGAGGATGGTATCATCGTTTCCAAGATGGATACTGGTTCTGATCATTGTCGTCGTTTTCCAAACGCAAACTTCCAACACCTTCCTTCATGTCATAACGCCGCTGAAAGTTGCATTTCAACATGTTGTTTGCCGTCATTCCTTCAAACCACCACGATCATCTTCAACATCCCTTGGTATGGGGTCATTTGATGCGACAGGGAGACGATCATTGTTTGCTTTGGATCATTTTCGCGCTGAAATATTCCAAAGGTATGATGTGAAAACTTGAGGATTTTTTTCTGAAATTCTTGCAGTTTCAAGGCGATTCTAGTTACAAAGATTGCAGAGAAGGTCTTGGATGTTGTATCGGTCCATATTGTCAACATACTCTCTTCTCTGTTCGCTTCGGTGGCCAAGGCGCTAAAATTCTTGAAGAAAAATCGCCAGGAGGAAGATCGATCAGAGCAGTTCGGCGGGATGGAGATGTGCAGGAGGGGAGGGAATATCATGATGGTGAAGATGCAGCTTCGCTCGTCGCCACCAGCAATCCATCTTCTCGCTCCGTTGACGGCTGAGTGAATCAGAATGAAGTACCAAGTTGCGACTGCTTCGCAAGAGGACTGTGGAAGAGACAATAGAACACTATGACTGTTGCTCAGCCATCATGGTATACGGATAAGAGTTTGTTTTTATATTAAAGAAAAGGAATGTGCAAAGAAAATTAGCATATCCGTCATCAGCATACAAACTTGGATGTCTTTCAGATTGGCCAACACAACACAATGGCACAACCGATCAAATTGTCTTGTGTTTCCCTGATCATCGACCAACTCGGCGAGGAAAGTAAGAAATTTGTCTCATCCCTTCCTGTAAGAAATTGCGTTGCATTCGAAAGACGGAAAACTGCCAGGGGGAGCGAGTGAAACCTTCAGGAGTCATCACTCGTCCAGAGGCCTCCTCTGAGAAGTTCCGAACGAAAAACTCGGCAGCGAACGATGATCTGTCGTCGGTTGTACTCCGACGGAGGAAGGGATGGGGTATGCGCCAGGCCCCGGATACTCTGAGTTGGCAAAGAAGTTCGTCTTGGGTCTCGAGGCTCCGAAGGTGATGGAGGGGCCTCGCCGTAGGTTCAACGACGTTCGTGGCCCTGTCGTCTGTCCTAACTTGTACTGCCCTGGTCCAGGAATCTTGGACGCACTCATGGATGGTCCGATCCTCTGCGCTGAAGTACCGAAGGAGAAGGCCGGGGGACGCTTGTTCTTCCAGCTGAAGTTGTCGTACTCCCCCGGACCAGGAGTGTTCACGATCTCGTGGTCCTTGGAAGAGTTCATCCCAGGTTTCTCCGACAGGCTCATGGAGTTGGTCGTCCCGTTCAGGCTCTCCATCGTACTCCTGTCGAGCCTCTTCGGTACCGGGGCGTCCCCTGGAAGCCTTGAGGAGGTACCGAAGCCGAAGGAGGGAGCAGTCTTGTAGGGAGGAGGCTTCTGAGGCCCGACGGCACTTCCCAGGTCGTACTCACCCGGACCAGGTGCACGTCCTGAATGTGAAAAGGTCAGTGCGAGCTGTTGTAGGTAACGAAAGGGCTGGTGTTGGCATGGAACGAGGGGGAGACAACTGGAGGGAGGGGTGAGGGGATGATAGCAGGGAGGAGATAGTGAGATCAAGCAAGGGAACCTTTTTCTGAAAGATAGGCAAACGACTAGTGGAGGGAGAAGAGGGGGAACGAGAGGAGACTTTCAACTCACGTGGACCCTTCATGCCGGAAGGATCTGGCCTGTCGCTCGTCCCAAAGCCAAAAGACGGTCCGCTCTTTACTGTGAAATCTTTGTTCCTTCCTACAGTCGTCTTGAGCATGTAGATAGGACCAGGAGAGATCCCCTTGAAGTTCGGCGATGGCCGTTTCATGGTGCCGAACGAGATCGAAGGGGACTCCACGCATACTGTTGACTTGATGTTGTACGCTGCTGGCCCAGGGGATCGCTGCATGCGCGTCATCCTGATCTACTGCTTCGAACACGACTTGATCCCAGTCGACCCCTGTGCTCGTGTAACTGCCCCCTACAAGTTACGATCCGATCCCACCCAATATGATCGTTTGTGCACCGGTGATGTTTCAGGATGTCAGAAGATCTTGCGTTACTGTATAACCTTTGTCTTGAATCCAGTCCCTGCGTTGCTCCTTTCTCTTCGTACCTGACCTTCTCCCGAATGTGTTGCTGAATCGTTCAACGCGTGCTCTGTCACTTGCTCTTTAGCGTGCTCGCTCGTATCTGCTACCCCCCCCCTCTCCCGCTTCCTATTTGATGAGCTCTTTCAGTTTCCCCTCCCTCCTTCCTTGTCTTCTGCCCTCCTTCCTCCTCCTCCTCCTCTTCCTCCTTCATTCTTTCGTCCTTCGCCCATCACGCCAACGGAAACGTTCGCCACCACCCCACCCGGACTTTTCCCCCTACCTACCCCTTCATCTCTCGGTGTATTTGCTTATGTCGTACCCGGTCATTCCTCTTACACTACCCTACCCCAGTAATACTCGCTACCACCTCGTTGAGGAATTTCCTTTTCTGAACACGATGGGGTATGTAGTGTCAATGTAGCATGGGAGTCTAGAAGGGTAGGGTACTTCAAAGTTGGAAAGGGGGTGTGGACTGGAGGAGATGGGGTACTACAGAGTCATATTGGGGTAGGGGGTAGGGGGTAGGGGGTAGTAGAGAACAAACCATGCTGAACGAGCCACCGACATGGCGCGAGAGAGAAAGCGAGAAGCAGAAAGAGGAGAAGAGGATAGAAGAGAAGAAAAGAATGAAGAGGAGGAAAAGTTTCCGACGAGGATTAACAGCATTGTCATCGGATGGTGAGAGACGCATTCATAGAAAGTATAGTGCAGCGTGTGTCCAGTCATCATGATAAATTCACAACAAGGAATACTGTTCCAGCTCATCTTTGCCTGTGAGAGTTTGTTCAGGACAATCTGATACATGTTGTAATATGATAGCCGTCGCAAAAAGTTTGAATTGTTGAAACATACGTCCGTATGAGATGAAACAAAATGTTTAGAACCACATTAAACCTAACGTGAAACATGGCAATTTTTCTCACATTGGCATTGAAAAGGTTTTGCGAGGACTATCTCAACACAGTTTTCCATGGCTCTTAATCCACCACTCATACCGGGTCAAGGCCTTCCCCTGCCTGTTCACGGAGAACTTTTCATCCTGCAAAGAAGGTGTTTCCCTCTCTCATGAGTCTAAAGGTACTGACAGACTGTGTTACAGCGAAGTTCGATTCGAAGCAGAAATCCTTGGTCAGGTCAGTATTCTAAGAAGTTGTTCCCTCAATCATCCTCTCTATCCTACTTCATCTCCTCTTTTCCTTTCTCGCTTCCAATGTTACCTTCCACTTGTCGTCCTACCTTGGGGACATAGTGATTTTTTTGCAACAGACCAAGAGGACGTATGATCACAAAGGAAATCTCTATCTTTCAACTCTCAGAATGGTCTTCGTAAAGGATGCGAATGATACAGGTTGTGCAATCGAATGCTTTCTGTCCTCTGAACCTGCAATCCAGCAAACAGAGGCTGGTTCAGTCTGGGCCCAGAACATGCCAACGATTTGATTGTGAGACACGATATTGCTGTTGGCGGCCAGTTTCATCTTGACACGTTTTCTGCGTGTCGCAAGGCTTACGATATTCCTTTGAGTTTGCTTCGCCAAGAACGCTTCAATCAGGTGGAAGCCTGCAGGATTTTCTTTTTGATTCCCTAACGAAGAGATGTTTTCAGCCAATCTTTGGCTGCAACAACATAGAAGCGATCTGCTTGCCCCTGCCAGGCACGGATGGGGAAACACACATCAAGTTGTCTTTCTACTCAGGTCTCTCAGAACCTCTCTGGAGGCAAAACATTGTTGACTCTTGTTGTGTAGGAGGAGTAGGAACGTTCCTGCCTCTGTTTTTTGACTTGCTAAATCGTAACCGGTGAGCAAATGAGCCCTGATCTTGTTGTATATGACCTTATTTCGATCAACCAGGCATCCCTCCGGAACCATGGACGAGAACTTTCGCACGGCTGTGAGTTCGACGTTTTGAGGTTTGTCAGTGTCGCGTCCTTAGATTGCTGTTCAGGTGTCTTCGGGTCAATTCATGAGAGCTGCATACATTGATCCCAACGATCCTTCGATGATCTTCGTATCATCACAGCCTGCTACCCCACAGGCAAGAATGTCTAGAGCCCGGGATCGAACCCTACCTTCCCTTCCTGCTTTGCGCCCTCATAAATCCCAACTCTCTCTCCCACTTTGCAGATACATTCCTGTTGCTGATGATATCGCAGAGCAACTCTCTGAGCAGAGACGATTACTACAGACTTGGTCCTCAGGCTGCTGTCGCATCGCCCACCGTCCAGCCTGCCCCGGAGCCCAGAGCACCCGTCATCATTCCAACTGTGATACAATCTCTTGTTCTTCTCCTTCCCTCTCACTGTCCTGTCACCCAGGCTACCCCGATCCATGAGGAGCGACCTGCTCCGAGCAGCTCTTCCTCCCCGTCAGTTCCTGATGGTGAGAAGCGAGCATCGCTCTGTGCTGGCTGAGGCTGAAGTGGGTGCAGGGTGGACTGTCGTGTCGCCTTCCAAGTAGGACGGAGAGAAAAGGGACATCGTACTTGTACATATAGGAAGAACCCTTAAAGGTTCGATTGAAATTTCAATAGATCCGAGATTGGAGGATCAGAGGACAATAGTGTGGGGAGAGATGGATTGGAGCAGGGCGGTTGTGGGGACGAAAAGCTTTCCTTCCTTCCTAGAAACTAGCAAGAATGGGAAAGTCAGGCTATCCATATCTTACGATGAAGGGAATTTAGTGGAATATCATTCACAATTTCTGGAGGTCAGTGATGCCTTCGCAAGAAATGATTCAAGATCGACCCCTCTTCTTTGCCTGACATCCTCCTCTCCTCGCGCATCTCAGATCAAGTGGCAACCGCCTCTTGTCCTGTTTTGTCTCCTGCAAGTTTTACCCAGTCCTCTTATCTACGATGAATTCTCCTGAGACATCTTCAGTCGTCCTAATCCTCCACTTATTTCATCCTCCCCACTGCCCTCCCCTACACCCCCCTCCATTCCAACTCCTGAGCTTCACTGTCAGCTGGACTCAGTTTTGAACAAATACAGCTTTATCGATTGTACGGGTGATTGCGAGCACCGAAGTCACGTCTCATCTCCATCTTTCCTCCCATGTCTGCTGTTGAGCTTCCACTCAACCCCATGCCCTGTGCCTTCTTGTCGCCAGTTCCTTTCGAGCCACGAGGACGAGGAGGAGGAGGAGGGATGTTGGTCAGTGGCAGAGGCTTCGGACCAGGAGGATACGGCACCATGTTGTTCGGTTGCGAGTTCATACCATTGGTTCTCACAG